TAAATTGTGAAATTTTGACTATACAGGGGGGACAATTTGAAAGATGGAGATCGAGAATATCAATTAGACAGAAGATTAAGGTGGGTCAAAAAAATCGACTATTTTTTTACTTTATACTCTGATAATGTGAAAAGAAGGTTGCTTTTCATATCTCAAAAAAATTGAAGTATGAGCTCTTAATTTTAATAGGAAGGTCCTCCGCCTTTCAGTTTTCTATCTTTTCCTTATTATAAATAATAAATAACGCTTTATTGTTCAAAAAGCCAAAATAGCTTCATCGACAAAGCATTTACACAACAAACAAAAGCACAAAAAAAAACATACAAATAATAAAAAATACACAATACAAATCATACAATTCAAAAAAAAAATTAAGTCATAAAAATTACAAATAGAATATACATGGACAATTATTTTAAAACACAAAAAAAACGCGTATCAATAAAATTTTACAATAGGAAGATTGTAAATAGACACAATCTTAAGATTTATAAAATATTAAATACTTGACCCTTGACCAGTGTGTGAGATGATCAAAATTTTAAAATTCAAAATTGTTCATGATTAAACATCAAGAAATTAATAGAAAGAAAAATTCATATCTCGGTATCTACTCTTTGGAAAAAATATCTCCTTCACATTTGTAGGAAATTGAATTCTCTACAAAAAAGGTCTCTTGCAATTTTTTGTAAATCTCAACATTCGAAAGTTATTAAAGGTTGAAATTTGATTATTTTAAGGCAGATTTCTTTTTTCTTATGAATTTTATAACTGGTTAACAAAAAATCATTATGACACGCGCATCTCATGGTTTTGTAGGAAATTCATTCTACTCTATAAAAATACAACATTTTAATGAACAGTGCTTCCCATAAAATCAATAAAATGAAAAATATACGAAATAATATACCTGTACTGACTTCTTTCGAAAATCGACATCTATGAAATTATGAACCCTTCCTGGACACAAACGATACATTGTGAGACAGGAAATTGTAGAGAGGAACATGCCCTATAACATAGGATACAACATTTTAATGAACAGTGCTTCCCATAAAATCAATAAAATGAAAAATATACGAAATAATATACATGTACTGATTTCTTTCGAAAATCGACATCTATGAAACTATGAACCCTTCCTGGACACAAACGGTACATTGTGAGACAGGAAATTGTAGAGAGGAACACGCCCTATAACATAGGATACAACATTTTAATGAACAGTCCTTTCCATAAAATCAATAAAATGAAAAATATACGAAATAATATACATGTACTGATTTCTTTCGAAAATCGACATCTATGAAATTATGAACCCTTCCTGGACACAAACGATGCATTGTGAGACAGGAAATTGTAGAGAGGAACAAGCCCTATAACATAAGATACAACATTTTAATAAACAGTCCTTTCCATAAAATCAATAAAATGAAAAATATACGAAATAATATACATGTACTGATTTCTTTCGAAAATCGACAACTATGAAACTGTGAAAAAATGATATTGAATTATATACAAATAAATTTTCGAATAGAGAACTTTCATAGTAGTTACTTTCACGATAGAAACTTAAAAAGAAAAAAAATCTTAAATCTCATTCAAATCGAAACAACAGTTTTTAAAATATCTGAAAAAATGTGTTTAGTTTTTTAAAGTTTGATGCCCTCTAATTGGTAATTGGAAAATAATGGACTTACTTTGATTCCAAAAATACGTAGTAGTTCTATGTCCACGGAATATTGAGACACACTGTACATATAAAGAATAAACCCTATTTTTACGTGAGGATTCGAGAGATGGCACACATTTTTTGAAACACCCTGTATATTATTTCATGTTAAATAAATAGTGAGCAGATAAATCAGTGTTTTTTACACATCGAAAAAAAAAACATCAACAAACAGGAAAAAGCAGAAACTAATTAATATCGAACAGCGACATCCAGAATTTTCGCAGCGTTAAAAGGAGAAACCGGCCGCCATAAATCCTGGACCTGCCCAGTTTTTCCTGGCGGCGGCCGCATCTGAAAACTAATAAATCTGGAGGAAAGCGATAAACTTTATATTACTGGAAAACCCTGGACGACAGTTGCCGAACCATTGCTGTCTTCCGAAACCCCAGAAAGAAAAAACCAAACCAAGCAACAAACTGATTTTCCTTCTGTTTATTTTGCATCTCTTTCTTTTTATTTTTTTTTTAATTTGAAATATTCGTTCTTTGAAAGAAATACATTTCTAAACAATATGAACGCAGGAATCAAAACCCTTTCTTTTTTAGTTAGGTTGAATAGATTTTGATTAGATGAAAGTTGCATCTATCATCAGTTTCCAAGCATAAAATAAATAAATTAACATAAAAATGAAACAAGTAGGTGGGTATAATAAGTAAAATTGGTACCTACAAAAAGCTCGAGGTAGTGATGCGGGCAAATGCAAGACCAAGATTCTCTTGGTCTTAGTCTTAGTCTTCCAGTTAATAAGTACTCTTGGTCTTGGTCTTGTGAAGTCCAGTCTTGAACTTACATTTTTTTAAAAAATTTTTACTAGAGGCACTTTCTATACAGGGTGGTCCGAACTGTACTCCGGAAACATTGGCAGCAAGTTTTGCAGATAAAAATAAGTAAAAAAGTTCGTATAAATGTACGTCCTAAAATGCTTAATTTCGGAAATATATGGTGTAGAAATTTCATTGTTATTTCGATTTTTTGCAAATATTTTCTGAAGTAGCATCGATATTTGGATGTAAATTGGTGTCTGGGAGTTTCTTGACATTCTTGAAATTTGTCTTTGATGTCAATATGACTTCTACTTGTAGAGGGCGCCACCTACATATTTTTTAACTGGTTTTAAGTGTAATAACTTTTCGTCCGTACCTGAATAAAACTACTCAGTAAACAATTATATGTACGATGTTTTTTATGTAAAAAGGTAAAAAAAGTTACGAGTAATGTTTTTCGAGATAGTTGGTATCGAAATTATCAATATCTGTCATTATTGACATAAATTAAACATGTTGACTAAATAGTTATTAGACCAAAATCATAAATTTGAAGTTTTTTTTGTTCCAAGAGTTCAACAGAAACTGTTTTACCACCATTTTTTCGAAGAAAAATTTATGATTGATTTAAAAAATTCCAAAATTTATAATTTCAGTCAAACAACTATCTACTCAACATGTTTATTTTTTGTCAACAATGACAAGTATTCACTATTTCCATTGTAAATATCTTGAGAACGGTTGCTTGTAGCGATTTTTATCAAGAGGCATTTTTTACGTAAAAAATCACGAAATTGTATATTTTTTCAGTAGTTTTATACAGGTACAGAAGAAAAGTTATTACTGTTCAAAAGAGTTATACCACCTGTAGGTGGCGTACAAGTAGGTGGTCCTACAAATAAGAGTCATATTGACATCAAAATCAAATTTCTCATGTCAAGAAACACCCAGACACCAATTTTCATCCAAATATTGACGTTACTTCAGAAATTATTTGGAAGAAATTATAATAAAAATGAAACTTCTACACCCTGTATCTCCGAAACTAAGCGTTTTAGGACACACGAACTTTTTAACTAATTTGTATCTGCAGAATATGCTGCCAAAATTTCCGGAATACAGTTGGGACCACCCTGTATAGAAAATCTATAAATAAATAGTATTTTTGGTAATTTAAAGCAAACAAAACTTCAAAGAAATTATTAGAGTATATGTCTGATTTTTTTTTTATTTTTCAATATATTATATTGAACAGGTATTATATGGAAACAGGTATTTCATTCGAATCGCTAAGACAGACAATTATAATAAATCTAAAAGAAAAGAAGACTAACGACTAACCCCCTGAAGCTAGGAAACAAAGCAGAATCACACCTATATTAATATTAAAAATAAATCTTATTTTTTCGCGAGGAATTTCACCACGTGAGCTGCGTCTATAATTATTGAAGTATATGTAAACCATATTCTTGAAATCAATAATCATAATTAGCATTATGCAGTTTTTTAGCAAATTGCAATGAAGAACTTAAAAAACAATGGTTTGTGTGATCTACTTCTGAAATGATAAAAGAGATGTTATCTAATACCTATTACCTACACTTACAACATAGGTGTTCCATAAAAAATAGTTTATATCACTGTGATATCAGTGACCAAAGAAAATTAGTTGGATTAAATATGCTGCTACCTGCGACATTTGACAGTGTATTTCATTTTTGATAATAGGTACGTATTATAACTTGACTGACAATTCTATAATTTGTGCTTTTAATGAAGAACTTGCTATACCTAAAGCGTGGGCTGTACACTACTTGGGCAAAAAATGTACGCGTACTGTCAACATATTTTACTGCCAAGTTACTGCCAATTGACTACAAAAAGGCTGCTTATGTTTGTCATATAACTGCCGCTAACGACTGCCAGCGACTGCCAAGAAAATGTACATGTAATTCCAACAGTGAGACATCCCTCGACTTTAAAGTGTGTAAAAGCATATATGGTAGACTAATATTATTTTAATTTTTTTTTAGAAATAAATCATGTTTTCTGGAACCCGATTTTATAGATTATCCAAAATACCTATAGACTCTTGGAATACACTCATATTTCTAAAAATAACGTAACTACGTCGCTGGCTCGAAATTTTATATGAAAAATTGTCATTATTTTTATAATAGAAAAGCTCATACCGCACCGCTATAATAAAACCCTAAACATGGTAATAGCGACATGACCCATTCTCCCTTTTACTGCCCATCTGCCCGGTGCTCCGCCGCCGTCCAGGACGTCTTACGACGCTCCCGACACACTATAAAATTCCAAAACAGCCCGATCTCCACTGGCCATCGAGGTATAAACAAATTTCCGGAACGATCTCTGTCGCACCTATCCACAATCGCGCGGCGGCGGGGCGGGACCTAGCCAGGCCCGCCTCTTTCCCGGATCGTCCCGGAATCACGCCGCCGCCACCAGAGCGAGCCGCCACCGGCAAAACGCCGACCGCCACCGACGCGAACGCTTCAACACCGCGACGACTCTATCCAGTGTGGTGCTTCCAGTTGAGAGAGTGCGAATGTTTGAGCTATGGAGGAAGACCAGAACCGTCTTTTAGCCAACCAGTATCTCCAGGATTTCGTCCTGGATCATCTAGAGGACATTACGGTTAAGCGCGAGGACAAAAGACAACTTATCGAACCGGCTTCTTGGTTGCCTCACGAGGAGGACTCAACGCGGCGAGTGTGTGCCAGACCTCAAATGTGGGAGGACAGGAGGGACATGTCGCCTTCGGAAACCGGTGCTTTGTACCAGCAGCCGGTGTTAATGAACATGGAGGTGCACGATCCCGATTCTCCACCGGAAACTCCTCCAGATCAGTCTCCCATGCCATTTAGACCTTCAGGTTTTTCAGAAGAAGTGCTGTGGTTTCCACATGGCACCAGAGTAGAACCTCAGCCTCTCGACTTATGTAAAGGCGGAGACCCTGATTGGGAACGACGCGAGTATATACCTTCAGGCATGTTAATGGACTCTCACAACCAACAAGTCTTATATCAAGCCAGACCCCTATCAGTAAGTTCGGGCGCTAACAGTGCATTATCACCTAGAATAAGCAACCGCGCAAATTATCACAACAACGACTTCCCCTGTTCAGACGACCTCATCAGCGACGACCTCCTTATGACGCTCTCCGTCAGAGAGCTCAATAAAAGATTGCACGGATATCCTCGAGAAGAAGTCATCCGCCTCAAACAGAAACGCCGTACCTTAAAGAACCGAGGTTACGCTCAAAACTGCAGGTCCAAGAGGCAACAACAACGCCAGGATCTGGAAGAGGCCAACAGAAGTCTCCAGCACGAGCTGCAGCGGCTCAAGATCGACCTGGGCAAGGTAACGCAGGAGCGGGATTTTTTCAGGCAGCGCCTCCAAATGAGTAACCGGTCCCAGAGTCAGCAGATGCCTCACAGTTTGAATTCCTCAATGAATTCGCTCAATTCCGACGGGGGACAGAGTTCACCTGAATTCTACCTCTGACATCCTTTTCCGGGTCGTAGACTATAGTTAGCTCGGCCCCAAGGTGTTTTTCCAAGAAGAGCACCGCGCGCGAGTGAATACGAACGCTCCTCTTAGTGTATGAATGAAAAACTTTTTGGATTCTCAATGAATAAGTGCTGCCAAATAAGTCCCGTGAGCCGATGGACACGAAGTGCTGACGAAAACTGACTAAAAGTGAAACTAGTTTTTAAGTATGAGCATTTTAAATATCATTTTTGTTATTCTTAGTTGAACTGATAGTTTTAAGCTAGCCATCATTCTTTTCCATTCTGACCTCACTGCAAGAAGAGGTCCAAAAACATATATTATCATATGTTTTATATTTTTAACATGTTTCTGAAGAAAAACCATGTTGTTATGAGTAAAGTAACTTATTGTTACGTTGAGACTTATTTTCGTTTGTTCTTGATTTAAGTTTTTTTAGTATTATAATTTGCAAGATCGATATAGACGAAAATATAGAACAATCTGCATATCTCTTGTAAAGATCTAATTTTAAACGATTATGTTTGTATATCCATCTCAAAAATATTTTTATATCTACCAGGTACGTTTTAACACCTGAATGTTATGTTTTATATATATAATATATATTTAAGATATGTTATATTAAATACTGTACATAACATAATTCTTAGAAGCCAATAAAAAATCTGTTGGTTTTAATTATATTTTCGTTTAATTGACAACCCTTTCCTATTTCCTGTTATCACTTACAAATATTGATTGATATTCAAAAAGATATTTAAAAATTACATATAAAATATTTGAATAAATCAAAATAACATTCTGATAGAAACTATATTAGTCTTGTACTAATACATTAAAAAATATTGTTTTGAATTACATAAATATTTATATTAGAGCATTAATTATTTAATGCAATAATTATAGCATTTGAAAACAAATCAATGTAGGTTAGCACAGTTAAATTCTACAATATATATAGTAACAACTAATGATCTAGTTTTAGAGATCGAAAGCAAAATGTTGATTTTTTAATTCTTTTTTTTAAGTATTTGATGATTTTTTTTTCAAAATTAATTAATTAAATTCTTTTTAAATGTTGAAGACCGACTTTCATGTAAGTAATATCCCCCTAATATTTCTAAAATAAAATATTTAAAAATCTAATTAGAAAAAATCTGTCTTAGTTCAAAATTCACTGGATTAAGAACCTATGGAGAAAATTAAAGAGACATTAAGAAATTTGTTATTCTGTGAATTCACAACTTTTAAATTTTTTGATTTAGAGAAAATTTCTGAAAATTGCAAAGTAAAACACTTTACTTACTGCACTTTTGCTTACTACACTTACTGCAAAAGCAAATTAATATGATTTAAAGGCCATAACGCATATCTTTTAGTAAATAAATTAAAAATCTGAAAATAACAGCATTTGAATTAAAGATCAATAAAATGGGACATTTTTATAAATTCCTATGTAGGTAAGTTACATCACACACACAGAACCAAGATAATTGATATAAATCATTTAAAGAAAACATCTGTAAGATCATGGGCAATTCCTTAAAAACTATAAATCTATAGCTATAATTGTCATTTGTAATATTAAAAATATTTAAAATTAATATATTTATTTATTAGTAACCATATTAATAAAGAAATTGTTGAATGTAATTATTCTTTAGACTTTATACCGGGTGCGTCTCAAAAGTGGCTCACCCATATAACTTTTTTATTTTTTCAGATAAAACAACGAGATTTGGTACCTATGTTAGTATATGACATAAATTGGGATTGATTGACGTATTCAATTGTTTTCGGTCACTTCCGGTTTCACCGGAAATGACTGCAACTTTTGATTTTTAAATGGCAACCTCGGTATTTTTTATTTTATTCGATAGAAAATGACACTCTGAATAGAATGACATGGCTGTGTTAGAAACACTAATTTTTAATCAAGGAGCCTTGGAAAAATAGATTTGATCGTCTAATGTTTTTAGTGTCTTGTCCTAGCCGGTTAAAAGATGTCCAAATCGTAGTTTTAATCATATCTCATTTTTTTTCAAATGGAACGAGGGTGGCTCATTAGCATATTTGGAAAAAGCATTTTTTACGAATAATTTGATACCACACACGCACACACTTGGTATTTCGAGTCAAATTGTCGTTATGAACGGCAGGTTACAATTTCAAATAAACCATATGCAAAAATGTCAAAAGTTGACATATGTTATGTCATTCTATTCAGAGTGTCATTTCTATCAAATAAAGTAAAAAAATACCGAGGGTGCCATTTAAAAATCAAAAGTTGTAGTCATTTCCAGTGAAACCGGAAGTGACCGAAAACAATTGAATATGTCAATCAATCCTAATTTATGTCATATACTAACATACTAAATCTCGTTGTTTTATCTGAAAAAATAAAAAAGTTATAGGGGGTGAGCCACTTTTTCGACGCACCCGGTATTTCTACTTTGTTCGATAGAAAATTACATTCTTAATAGAATGACATATCATAGGTCAACTTTTGACATTTTTGCTTAAAAAAAATCGTATATTAAATTTCAATCTAGAGTGCATGGCGGCGTTAAAAGCACTAATTTTTAATCAAGAAGCCTTGGAAAAATAGATTTGATCGTCTAATGTTTTTCGTGTCTTGTCTTGGCCGGTTAAAAGATGCCCAAATCGTATTTTTAACCATATTTCAATTTTTTCAAATAGAACAAAGGTTTGTTCTCATTAGCATGTTTGGAACCAGTATCTTTTTACGAATAATTTGGTACCACACACTTGGTATTCCGTGTCAAATTGGCTTTTGGCGTTGTGAACCGCATTACAATTTCAAATAAACCATATGCGGAAATGTCAAAAGTTGACATATGATTTGTCATTCTACTCAGAGTGTCATTTTCTATCGAATAAGGTAGAAATGTACCAAATTTGTCCAAAATATTAATCCAGTCCTAATCAAAGAAACACTCATGCTCATGCCTTCATACTACAAGAATTATATTATAGCTTTCTTCCTCTACAGGTCTATAAAAAGCATCCTAAATGCTATTTTGTATAAAAGGTTACAAAAAGCACACAAAGTCATTATTAAAAAACGAATATTTAATGAAAAAATGTAATGTTTTATCAAAACTCAAAAAAAAATCGAAGAACTATGCTGTTCAGTTTACTTCATTTTACAGAGTCCTTTAAAAATTTTCATAGGAAAATTTGATTCATTATTTTTCAAACTCAATTTCATGGCCCTCTATCCAACCATTTGTTACGCCAATGATCGCCTCCTCCGTACATTTTGAATAAATTCCCTCGATAAGTATCGCCAAGACGTATTACGTTTTCGGAAATGTTTACTACAGAACCGGTGTATAGTAAAAAGAGCAGTCGATATCCTTCATTCAGTATTTGGGAAACGGCATCAGCGGATCTGCAGGATGCTGCACCGCCAGCAGAATCGCGGCATTGCTGACGTCTATAAGAACGAACCAGGTCGCAGAGAGAATATGAGCAATCGATAGTAAAAGTTTGGGAAAAGGGAAAAAATTGGCGACGGATTTTTTCGAGGAAACAGGCGATTTTTTATTAAATATAAGTTTATTCTAAGCAAAAAATAATTTATACAAAAATAGTTTTTTTTCCTATACAGGTTGTCCCAATATTCCGTGGATATACAGTATGTCCCTCGATCGTCTTTACAAGAGGAAAAACTTTTTTATTATTAACATTTTGAGAAAAATGCATTTCTTATAAAAGATCTTGCTTATTCTAAAATGATTAATCCCGTTTATACTTTTCCAAATTTCCATATACAGGGTGGCGCACTACACATTCGCCTCGGTTGATTATACGAAAAGTGGAAAGATGTAGAACCAAAATATTTTATGGGTATATGTAGAGAGACAATGTGCATAATTTAAAATTATTTTGAAATGTACAGGGTGTGTCAGCACTAAGATCCATACCAAAGTTATATTTTTTCTTATGGAACACACACCGGGTATTTTATTTCATTTTTGGATTCTTGGACATAAAATAAGGCATTTATTATAAGGGTTTGATATGTCTAAAAGCTTTGGTTTTTGAGATATTTAAAGATATTTAAATATACATGCTATAATAAAATAATAAATAGGTTTGTCAACACCTCGTACATTACTTTTCAGAATGAACTCTGGTGCTGACTTTCAAGCCAGAGAAATAAACTTAACTAAAAAATTTGATTGCTTCCTTAAATGTATACAGGCGTATCAAAAATTGCTGGTCAATTTTAATATTTATTTTACATAAAAACTTTGTTATTTCAAATGCAACACTATGTATTTTTTTAAATATACTAATAAGGTAGTTCTTGGACCTATTCTAAGAAAAATTTCATATGAAAGTATGTCCTAAACATCTTAACTCTTGAGGTATGGGGTGGTAAAATTTTCTAAATAAAATGTTTTATAATAAGTAATTCTGATGTTATTATACAGGATGAGTCTTAAATAAGTGCAAATATTTTCAGGGGTGGTATATTTCGACCCCAGGAACACGTATATGAGTTTTTTTTCGCTAAAAAGATGTTGAAAATCGTGCATTTTCTTTTAAATTTTCCTGTATATTTTTCGAAAAACTGCCTGTTTTCACCGCAAATTCTCTATGGTATAATTTCTTAATCTCTGATATTACCATAGTTAATAATAAATCAATTTTTTTTTAAATTTTCGAACTTAAAGAACTAGGTTATTTTGGACTTATCTGAAAAATGGTAAAGAGAAAATATGTTTCTTTTATCGAGATCTACGAGCCCTGAAAATATTTGCAGTTATTTAAGACTCACCCTGTATATATTGATAAAAAAATTGGAGATTTAGTGGTGTTCTAGTAGGATTTTTGCTCTGATTTAGTCGAATAGCGAGGAGTTGGCAACACTGTATCTGGAGATATCGATAGTTGGAGTAAGCATCAAATTAAAAAAATAAATATATCACCACCCTGTATACTCCTTAATTCATTAAACGTTTCTCATGGTTAGGCAAATCGGTCATCTTACAAAAAGAAACGATTAGAAAAGAAAATATTTATATTTTTTCAGTGAAACCTAAAAACTAAAAACGCTTGTACTGCGAAGAGGAAATCGTAAAAAGTAATATTCATAAACACCAACCATTTCAAAGAAATGTATATGTCCCTCGTGTATCTCTAGACTAATTCGTTCTTATTTCAGCTCTCCTATCGACACCAAAGCCAAAACAACATTTTCATTGATTCCTGCCGAACGGCTAGGCCGCGTCCTGCTAAAAAATAAACAAAATCGACTTTAAAGGACACCGTCTTCGTGTAACCGATATCCTGCAATCAATGAAAAGTTTCGTAATGTTTCAAGTATGGCAGTAATTCACTTGCGATGATATTAATTTTAAAATTATTGGGCTCGTAAGTTAAAACAAATAACAAATACAGGGTCCGGCAATAGTGCTTCGGGCATCTGTAGCTCCTAGAAAAACTTGCGAATTTTGTTTAACAACCACCAAAAAGCAAACCTAAAGTATGTACGAGGATGTACTTCAGGAAAATATTTTTACTTCTATAGGGTCGTGGTCGTCAGAAAAGTGTGACTGGATCGGGTTGATTTTTTTTAAACGGAACACCCTGTATATTATTGCATTTTTGGCTTCTTTTCAGATCACTTTACATAATCCTAATATATG